ATCTACCATAGAGCTTCTAAAGCAAGTACATGTAAATAAAAAACTCAACAGACATATTCAAATAAGATATAAGTCTGTACAACGCCTGTTAGGCAAAGTTGTGATCTTGGATTTTGTAAAGTCTGAGAAAAATATTGCTGACCCTTTGACTAAGGGATTATCCAGGAGTGTAGTCCTGGATTCATCGAGGGAGATGGGGTTAAGTCCATTAAAGAGGTCACTGACAGTGGGAACCCAACCCTTATTTGGAGACGTTGTCCCAATGTCGGTTCAATGTGGTAGAAACAAGCTGGACTAGTGATACTCGGGTGGAGCATCGACCCATATATATATTCATATATCATTATGTAGTGTGAGCTACTACCCCTTCTCTATGATGACGATGCTCCTATGATACAGCTGGTTAGGCTGAGTTTTACTCTTAATAAGTCCAACGCATGTATTATTGGGGGGTATTAAATAAACAGCTGTAGTACCCTTTGAGGACTTACCTACGTGAGAGGAATCGTGATGGCCGCGGTTGGGGGGGGCTGGACTAAACTAACCCCTAGAAACTCTCATGAGTCGGTTATTGTGAGCATGGCCTTTTAACGCTCAACCCGCTTTGCTCAATAGATGAAGTGTATTGTGTGTGTTTTTGTCAATACCTGATTCAAGGGCCCTAATTCAAGGCTTAGTCCATTATGTCCCTCAGGTGGCGACAAACTCACTAAGGAAAGGTTCAAAGCCGGAAGCTACCTTTCCCGAATTCACGATACAAAAGGTTGCCCAACCTATATATACGCCTCGCCACGACGCGCGCGCCACGCCGCACCGCACTCGGGTTTTGCTTCTCCAGCTTTTATTTTTTTGTAACGGCAGCATTTATTATGTAACGGCAGCATTTATTATGTAACGGCAGCGTGATTTACGCCCAACGGACGAGGAGATTCAGCATCGGTTACTGGTTCATGAGGCTATATAAGGAGGCAGAGTTCATTCGGGAAAACACACAGAAATTCACAAAGAATTTCATAGCTCCCTCTTCCTCCTTCTGCTACTCTTAGTACTCAAAGATTTTCGGCTACATATTTTGAGGATTATTTTTGGGCAATCATCTTCATCTGAGCAGAAGCTCTGCTACTCGCGCCCGAGTAGAGAGGCCGGCCGTTTCCGGGGGGCTTTTACCGCTAGGGGGGAGGATCAACTACGCCAGGGCGACAGGCGGGTCCTCTATCTTCTAGGGCAGTGTATCACGACTGCACCCCGTTCAGGCCTGATTTTTCATAACTCATTTATTTTCAGTTAAACTAATTGTTTATTGTGTTAGCAAGAATAACAACTGCATTTCATGTCTTTGTCTTATTTCTTATCTCATCTATCTATCTATTACACAAGTAGTCTGATTATTGAAGCAAATTCCTTTTAATTGTTGTACTCAACTTTAATTAATAACTTGATTATGTTCAATCATAAAACGTTGGCTTGCTTAGCATTAGAATTTAAGTTACTTGCTCTATTCATTTTGTTTGGTGGCAACCAGGGGTGGAAGTGGACAGATCAAACAATTATAAAATGGTTTCATATTTCTACATGTAATATGGGATGAAATTAGATTTGAGACGTCATTTAGAGAATATAAATATTTTTATATTAGAAGAATCAAATATGAATTCTAACATATTTGTTTTGTTTTTTTATTAAGTATTTGTCTGAAGTTTAATCCCTTATGATTTAATTTGTTACATGCATCGCGTTATATTTTGATCCCTTTTATATAGTTTCTTTGTAGATTCTATACTTTTTTTAAGGACTTTAAGTGACTAAAATCATACTTTTTAAACCAAACATTTATATTTTAGATTAATGACGTTATAAAGAAATATTTACACATAAAAAAAAGTTAATTAAAATTATTATTTTGATATTCGAGAAAGTATTCATATTTACACATAAAAAAAATCTGAATCAAATTATTAATTTTTTATTATCGAGATACATTAGATGACTATTCATATTTAAATATAAATAATATAAATATGAATACTCGAATCATCAATTAACTTTGATACGTTTCGGGGCCATATGACAGCTACTTATTGCAATGAAATTAGCCAATAGATATGTGGCTACTTATGAACTTGGAACTAGCATTTATAACTCCAAAATATTGAATGATTACATTTGTTTTGGCAACCCCCCGCCCGCCCGCCCGCCCGCCCGGTGTCATGGATCTCTACTATCAAACTAGTTTTCTCTCATCGTCCAATTTCCAAATTCGGTAGGAACTTTGATCAGAAATGGAGGAGGGCACACGTGCAATTTTTATCCAAAAGAAGCAACAGGCATGACCCATATCTGAACTGGGCGTGACTAGAGCCAAATCCATGTGATCGTGATAAAAAATAAAATCTCACGTTAAGAAACTGAAAAACTTGCAAATAGTTTTTCATGCTCTCTTTTTTTGTGTCCACATACTGCCAAATACATAAAGTCTCTAGAGTCAGAAGGAAAAAGAATTGCTGTTACTTGTCTACTGCGATCAAAGCAAAGAAGAATTGAGTCACAAGGTAAAAAAGCACCCTCTCTTTTTATTGTATATTTGTTATTGTTCTTATTGTGTCCTTTTTTTTGTGAATAAATACAAATATAATCTGTGCTTTTATCACAATAGATGTAGGCAATTGATAAATTTTAAATCTTTTGTTTTCCTTTTTTTATGTACCAGATAGCCTAATTTTAAGACACATTAATACATGTATTCTTGGACTAAGATCACATCATCGATCTCATCATTTACCCCCCTAAAAGAATTAACTCGGATACTAAGTCAAACATCATACTTTTCCAAACAATTCCAAAATTTCTTGGACGGTAAATTTAATTGCGGAATCAATACAAATTTTACCTTCCATGAGCTTCATGTACGTGGAAAGTAAAAATACATATGAGGGTTCATTTCGCCAAATCAATAAGTGGACTGTATAAGGCAGAAGAATTATTATTTTCTCAATAAAAACAAAGAATGAGGAGCTATGTGCAAAACAACACAAATTTGCCATTTTTGGTGATACACGATAGAGATAAAGATTCGGCGAATTAAATGAGGAGTAACTGGACCATTCTCCCTTGTGCGGTCCACGAGAGCGCGGGCCAACAAACAGAGGATCCTAACCCGAATCTGAAAGCAAAATCCAACGGCCAAAATTCCCCTCATTTTCCGTGAGCTCCGCATTTCCTTGTCCTCTCTCTTTTGGCCTCTGTTAGTAAAAAAAAGAGAAAACAAATAAATAAAATAAAAATTTTGTTGGGTATATAAACCTCGGATCTCGCTCAGCACGTTTTAGTCTCGCTCAGCCCAAAACCGATCGCTTTGGTCTCTCCTCTCGTCTTGCGTCTCGAATACGGAAGAGGTTTATCTTTTTCTCTTTTTTCGTTTTTTTCATTTTTTTTGTTGAAAAAAGCGATTTGAGCTGCCATGTGTTGGGATTTTTCTGGGTTTTCGAGAGTTTCTTCTGCCTTGATTTGTGGGGTTTTTTTTTTTTGCTTTTTTTATGTTTCTGTTTTCTCCGTGTTTTATGAGGAATTTGACATGTGGGTCTTTGAAGATATGCAGTTAGAATTAGAATATCTCAAAAGTTTTGTCTAAATTTGGGAGCTTTGGCTTTTGGAAGCATTAATATTTGTGGGTTTATTCTCTCCTCTTTTTTTCCCCCTCTCTTTTGTGGGAGATTGGATATGGGTATGTTCTTCTTTAGGTTGTTGATCGATTTCGATCGTTCCCTGTTAATAGTTTCTTCAATTTCTCTGCAGTATGTAGCTAATTGTATGTATCTGTACCTTTCTCCCCATTTTCCCTTTTTCTGGAATCTGTTTTTTTTTTTTTCCTTTTTGGATTCAGGTTCGGTACAAAGTTGACGTTGGTTTGATAGATAAAATCTTGGATTAATACGAATACCATCTACGTGATGTTCTCCGAAAATCTTAGCACGTTCAAATTAAGATGTTGATTACTATTGATTATGAAAAGCATGAGAGAGTTGATTCCAGCTTTTTATCTTTGATTTTTAGCTAGCCTATTTGGTATATGTTGGATTATATTTACTTTAGAAGCATTGAATCAATACTAGCTAGCCTATTTGATTGGATGATACCACCATGCTATCTGAAGTCGAAGTTTAAGAATGAGTATGATTTTCTTGTTTGATCATCGTAGTTGAAAATTTCTCTATTGTAAGGAATGAAAATGGAGGCCTTGGTAGTTTATTCTTTTTCATAAAAGAAATCCATCTTAATAATCACCGTTGCCCATCACCCTGGAATCTATAACTTTTGTTTCGTATGTATGTTCATAGGTTGCCAAAAAATAGCTTTAACTTATGCAGACATCTTTATGTTAGTTTGTTGATCTTGCCTTTTGTAACTAAGGCTTTAATACTGGGGCTTGTTCCATCGATAGTCTGATGTTTGAAAGGTTCTTCATTTTAGGTGCATATTATCATGATTAGGATCATGCGTCGGGGTTCTGCTTCATGTTCTATTAATTACGTTTGAAGATAGATTTTAGAAATTAATTTCAGCAGTAGAGGTCCAGGTGCCTTATTTGGGAGACTTAGGCAGATGAACTTAGACTTTTAAATTTGTGCGAAGGATGCAATTTTAAGGAAGTTGATGGTGTAATATTGCAAGTGGATTTTGGCTGCCTGGAGAAACATATTCATCCACGAAGTGGACCAATAGAGTTGTTACTATAAATTAGGTCTGTAGCAATTTAATGCATTGCTTGATAATATGTAGTGCACTCTGCTGGTCAGTCGGCTATGACTCTGTTGATGTTAAAACACCCATTCATTTATGTCATTGATTTTTATGTATTGGCTAGTTGAAAGGTGCTGTCGCCCTTTTGTACCATTTTATACCTTCTTCAGGATGTGATATTTGATGAGCATGTATGCAGTGCCCTATTTCAGAGATTTTGTTAATGTCTGGATAGAAACG